GAGGTTGCATTAATTGATTGGATTGTACCTATTATGGGACATATTTGATGGTGCTCATTAAAAGTATAGAAAATATGGTTTCCTATTGTAGTCACCTTTTTGCAAAATTTGAATTCTTCCATATAACTAACGAAACACGTATAATCTGTTGCATCATATGTGTCGATTTCTCCCACACATCATATAACTGCTTGCCGTTAATACATATAAGCCTTTTTAAATTTTGCTTAAGTATAAAGTATAATATTTTCTTTATAAACGTTTCCCTTTTACTGTAGTAATCAACTAATCAGAATAAACAATAAGAAGATGTGGTATGATTGCAAATGTTACAACTATCTACCAGAGACCAAAGTAAACTGTTTCAGAAGGTAGTCGAACGAAGAACATCGAAGATGCAAAGTGTTTATTTGTGTTACATCCTGCTCTTTTTGTGATCCCTTTTACTTATGATAAAACGGATACATGAAATAGTTTCTTTGAATTGTAGATATTTCATTGCATTTCTTATTTACATAGCAAACAAAGAAGATGGCGTAAATGTCAAAGGATATATGGCTTGGTCTCTAATGGACAACTTTGAGTGGGGAAGTGGATTTACACAGCACTTTGGAATATTTCATGTTGACTTTGACACAATGAACAGAACAAGGACACCTAAGAAATCAGCGACTACTTACACTCAGATTATCAAAGATAATGGATTTCCATACAAATGAACATTTGTTCCCTTTGCTTTGATACTTTTCATTTCAGCGACTTTTCTAAATTTACATGACAAATCTCTGTGAAATATATACTAGTTTAATCGATGTAATTTGGTTAAGTTTGATATGCATTATAAGTGACTGTCATTTTGTTTTATCGCCCTTTTCATGGTAATGCCACGGCGTAATTTCTTCCGACCGTTGCATCCTTCTTTTTCCTGTCTCTATAGTTTCATTAATTTTCTGTTTGATTATTTCTAAGCTTGGTTTTATTGGGTTATCAATGGAAAATCACGACAATATATATAAGCGTTTACTATAATCATGAGCGAGATATACCAAATGTCTGTTTTCTAAGCACTTTTTTGGACTTAACATTCATCTGAAACATTCAAAGTTTTAAAACCAAATATTTATATATCAATAAGGAACAATGTAATAAACGAAGAGATTGACATAGTTGTCAAAACTGACTAATATAAAAGTAAGGAGATGTGGTATGATTGCCAATGAGAAAACAATCCACCAAAGTTCAAATGAAGTGGATGTAAGCAATTTAAGGCAACCGTACGGCCATCAACAATGAGAAAAACCCATACCATATGGTCGGCTTTAAAAGGCCCGACATGAAAAATATGAAACAAATCAATTGAGAAAACTTACAACCTAATTTATAACAAATGTATTTATGAAAACAAAAACAAATATGACAGACATAAACCAACGACAACCACTGAACTACAGGTTCCTGATATCGGACAGGCACACAAAGAATGTGGTGGGTTAAACATGTTTGTCAGCGCTCAACCCTCCCCTAACCTGGAACAGTGGTGTAACGGTACAACATAAGAACAAACTACAAAAATCAGTTGAAAAAGGCTTAACTCATCAGATGGATACAAATAGAAATACATCTAACAAAAACACAGAGTGGACGTGGACGGGTACTTATACATCCCCACAAAAAAAAGACACTAAGTACAGATCTGAGAGTAGTCGCAGTTACTGAAGCTAGTTCAAAGCCAATAACAATTGATAAAAAAAATTATGTATCTAAGACTAAAATATCTATCATTACACATCCAATATCCAACGGATTTAGTGTAAAGACGTCATTAACAAATCAGAGAAAAACATGACCTCGTGCAATGCCAAACTATAGGTATCGACAAATTGTAGTACCGTGAAAGTACATATGTGTAATATTTTTTATGGTTTTAATTTGCTGATAACAAAATTAATATTTATACCAATAAAAACAATATTCAAAGATTTAATTACAGTGTTGAATAGGTAACCTTTTAGAATAAATTTACTTATAGGATTGACAAGTATACCCGGATCGTATCTAAATTTCCGAGCTCGGTTTCCAACATCATCGTAAAATTTAGGATGTGCTATTCCGTTTGAAATAAGTTTTCTACAGGTACAGCCAAACTTGCAGACCAAATCTTTGTATCTATGGAAGAATTAAGTAAAGGTTTTAAGTAATTTGTGGTAACGAAATCCCTGACTTAATAATTTACTAGTAATACATAGATTACGCTCATTGAAATCCAAAACGTCACTACAGACACAAGCATAGCGAACGAGTTGGGATATATAAACACCGTAAGACGGTGCCAAAGGAACATTACCGTCCAAAAAGGGAAAATTAACAATAGGGAAAGAAAAATCATTCCTTTTGTCGTAAATCTTGTGTAGAGGTTTTGGTGTAATACTGAAATATCTAAATCTAGGAAAGGACAGTTATTGCTGTTAATATTAGTTTTATTTAAAGTAAGTTCCTTTCGGTAAATTTTCAGCAGTATATTTAGAGAATTCTTGATTATATAACGAAAAAATATCATCAAGATAACGGTAAGTGTTGTTGAATTATCAATTAAATGGAATTTAGACGGTTCTTTAGTGAGTTTGGTCATAAACTCATGCTACTGAGATATCGTGGCACCAAATCGCCTTGCACTATGTCCGACGCGATTTGGTGCCACGATATCTCAGTAGCATGAGTTCGAATCCCGGCCAGGGAAGAACAAAAAATTTGCTTCCGCAGATCTTACATTGTTGGGCTGTTATTTAGACGAATTATGTATACAGAATGTGTTTTCAGCCTTGTATGGACTTGTATCACCATCACTGTGATGGATAAAATCTGTCGTAGAGTTGTCACTGGTTCAGACGTACTTATAATACAATTATTTCTGTGACTGCACCCTACATTAATTTGTAAGATCCTCCACGATATATGATTCAGCTGATCTGTAATATTCCATCTTCATGCCTTATATATCATGTACTATGTTACGACGCTAGATAAAAACTGACGAGGAAAGGTAACACCCGGCCACTGAAAGCTTGATTTTTGTCGAGCCTAGGTGGTCGAGTGGTCTAGCGCGTCGGGCATAGTGCAAGGCGATTTGGTGCCACGATATCTCAGTAGCATGAGTTCGAATCCCGGCCAGAGAAGAACAAAAAATTTGCTTCCGCAAATTTACAGATCTAACATAGTTGGGCTGATATTTAGACGAGTTATATATATATATATATATATATATATAATTATAGTCCTAATCATTCGTGACAAATGTGCCACGCCTATCTTTTGTCATTAGTAACATGTTTACTACAAGCAAAAATATTGTAAAGAAAAAAAGAAAAGCATCAATTTCAACTGAATGTACCTCACACATTGGCATATTCTTAAAAAAAAGTCCATCAATCTTAATGAAAATGTACGTTTGGAATTTGAAGCTGTTCATGCATTAAACCATATTTTTGAATTTCTGATCTAATAACAAATGGTTCAAGATGACTCCAAACTCTAAGTCAAGTTTTGGAAAATTTTGAATACTTATTCAAAACTTGAATGAAAAGGATTTTCTTAACCAAAACCAATACTTTAATCGAATACAAAGCTGTACGTTGTCTTGTGAGTACAAATTCATGTATTTTGACTAACGAGGACCCTGGAATCAAAAAGAGGAAAATTGAAAGTGAAATATCTAACTAAAACTTATTAGACAACATAGATATGAGCAAAAGAGAGGCGAAAGATACCAAAGGGACATTCAAACTCAATCTATGGAAGAATTTAGTAAAGGTTTTAAGTAATTTGTGGTAACGAAATCCCTGACTTAATAATTTACTTTAGTAATACACAGATTACGCTCATTGAAATCAAAAACGTCACTACAGACACGGACACAGCGAACGGAACGAGTTGGGATATATAAATACCGTAAGGTGGTGCCACAGGAACATCACCGTCCAAAAGGGGGCCTCGGTGGCCGAGTGGTCTAAGTAGTTACTACTGTAATCACTAGCCAGTCAACACTGAGGTTGTGAGTTCGAACCCCGCTCGTGTGGGTGCACTCGACTCCAATTTTAATTGACAAGGATTGTCAGTTTTCCTATCGAAGGTCGGTGGTTTTCTCCGGGCACTCCGGCTTCCTCCACCAATAAAAACTGGCCGCCACGAAATAGCCCAAAAGCGGTGCTTAAAAGTGGCGTTAAAACACCAAAAATCAAAATCAAATCACCGTCCAAAAAAGGAAAATTAACAACAGGGAAAGAAAAATCATACCTTTTGTCGTATAGTTTATAGTTTATGGTGTAACACTGAAATATCTAAATCTAGGGAAGGATAGTTATTTCTGTTACTATTTGATTTATCTATAGTAAGTTCCATTGGGTAAATTTCAGCAGTATATTTAGGGAATTCTTGATTACATAACGAAATAATATCATCAAGATAACGGTAAGTGTTGTTGAATTATCAATTAAATGGAATTTAGACGGTTCTTTAGTGAGTTTGACCATAAAATGTGATTCATAACAGTATAGGAAAAAGTTTACAAATAAAGGGGCATAATTGGTGCCCATAGGAACACCTTCAACCTGTCGATAAACATTATTGCCGAAAGATACATAAATGTTTTTAGGAGAAAATTTACGGCTTTAATCATCTCATATGTTTATCATTCAGACTGATGGAATATTGGTCAATCTTCTTTCTAGACTTAGGTGATTCGCTTAATCAGAGATCAACAGCTATCACATATGTTGTCGTCATATATGTTTTTGACGTCAGTTCCAAACGGAATTTCGAGGAATAAATGCGCAAATGTCTTTGGCATAGTACTGACTTAAACATGATTACTAAAAACCAAACGCTTCTGACTAAGGTAGCAAAGTTATTCGGTTCATAAAAGGTGAAAACCAGTCTATTTGGGACCGCGGTAGTCTAAACGTTTTTAAGAATTCTTCATAGAAATGATAACAATCAAATGTCCATCATTTTATCATATTTATTATATCAAAAAATTATCAGGTGAAATGTACTCTGTATGTCCTATAATTTAAACTGCTATAACTGGATTTTTGCTCACAAGCTCTTATAACAGTATGAAATGGTGTTTTCTGTATATTTCAATCAGGCGTTACTAAGAACAAACTGCAGTAACCTCTTTATCTCTGCTTTTATCTAAAAAGGAAAAGAAAAGAGATAATGATATAAAGGAGCAAGACATGCTTATCAGGACTAAACCAAAACCCATTTACAAACAAAACAAAATATTTACACACTTTATCAGATTACCCTCGGCTTTTGTTAGGGGGTGTTCTGTTCAGTTTGTTGTGTGTTGTATACTGTCTTTTGTCTTTTGATTATTTTTATGTCTTTTGCCATGACATTGTCAATTCGTTTTCGAGTTATCAGTTTTATTATCCCGATGGTATCTTTCGCCTCGATCTGATGTAAGATGACAAGAATCTGCAAGAGTCAAATGCCTCTAAAAGCAAACGTTTTTGTCTCAGATTTTCACTTGCATACAAATTTTAAATCACTTTTTATGTCTTTATTTTTTGGCAATAATAAAACAATTTGGGGAATGGGGGCGGGCTATGACTATAAAACTTATCTTTTCAAAATGCTGCGATAAAAAAATTGCACGAATCCAAAAGATAATAAGAAAAGAATCAAAAGACATAAAGGAGGAAATCATAAACCATAAGTATAAGTGTAAGAACAACAGACGATACCATAACCAAAAACAAAACACTACCAAAAAAATCCGGGGATGATTTCATGGTGCTACGGATTGGCATGCACATCCTGTCTTTCAAGTTTTACTACTGGCACCTGTCGTGTTGCCCATGGGAAGTAATAAAATAGTGATAAGTTGCATAGTGAATTAGTATAAGAAATAAGTTTTTTTAGTCATGTGATAAAATATGTGTTTAAAAAAATACTTTTAGAATGTTTACCTTCTCTTTCTTGCTAACTTTTGGCTTTTTCTTTTTTGGAATCAAAGGTTCTTCAATCGTTGAATTGGAAGATAGTTCCATTGTCTGGTTCCCTGCATTTATCTTATTTACCGTATTTACATCGCTTGTTGTATTGCCACTTGTCTCCTTCGCAAGGCTCGAATCAGTTTGAAGAAGTGTTGAATTTCCTGTTGCTATCTCTGGATCAATTTGCCTGAATAAATTCGTCATCGTTTCCTTGAAATTTCCGGGTTTAATCTTTGCTTCCTCCTTCATCTTAAGTATTTTGTTCACCTTATCTGCGAAACTTTGTTTCCTCACAGTAGGTTTTGCAGTAGTAGTTTTGTTTCTATGCTCTAGTTGATTTTCATACAGAATTTGTTTACATTTTCCATTTAACAAACGATAGTACTGATTGATTAATTTTCTAACTGGTCTTGAACAATATTTCATGTGTCTTGTCATGCAAGTTGCTGTGTGATTAGCATACCTGTATGAACAAAAAAAAACACTTGATGTCAACATTAATGGACGATCGCCATTTCATAAACATTAACATATTTTGTTTTAATAAATGTTCCATCTGGAAATGCTTTTTTGGGGTACAGAATTACAATTTCAGTCTGTATACATGTACAAAATGTATTATTATTTTTTTCTAAATGTGTTACCAAGAGCATGGTGATTGTTAGATAACGTCATATTCAATCTCAATTAACAAAGGAAACAGTCTCCAACACAATTAAACTAAAGTTTTATGTAAAGTCGATATTTAGTAAACAAACTACATAAACATACGTTCTAAGTTGTCTTTACAAATCGACAACGAATAGAAATGAAAAATTACACTACATTTTACAGGTACCTTCCTAAACATTTGGTTATCCTTGCTGTTATGTTAATGTCATTTGGTTTTCACTTTTTATATTTGTAGGTTTTCCATAACTGTTAGTTTAAAGCGACCCAATGAAGGTTATATTATGTTTATTTGAAGTAGATTCAAAATTTGCAAAGAAGAAGGTCCGGTAAGGGCCAATTTTGGCCTAATATTTGAAGTACATATGATGAAAGATTTTTGACATTTTTTAAACACTAAAGTGTCTATTTAATTAGTTTTTTGTAAAATATTTGAACTGGTTTGGTCTTTAGAGACGCTCAAATTCAACCTTGAAAATGCAGAATCTATCAAATATGGTTTTTGTGTAAAATGAAAGTGGCCGCATTCGTGTTCGTGTTCAGTCTCAACCTTTATATATGTTATGTAATATCATCAAGTACAACATATATTTAAGTATTATGACTGAACACATGTGCGGCCACTTCCATTTTTGAAAAAAAAACTGTCTAAAACTTAGCGCAAATGTCAATATTGAGAAGATTTCAGTAATTTTGCATGAATTAATGATGCAAGTACCTAATGCATGTGCATTGCATTGTCAAAAACAGCTAATATTTATGTAGCAAGACTATAGTACTTTCCAATAAATAGATAAAAGTTTACATTTGAACAAATTTGTAAAAATGCTATTTTTTGGGGGCCAAAAGGGGGTCTTACCGGGCCTACTCATTTATGTAGCTAGTACGTAGTGAAATGTCGTCAAAATTATCATTGGATTCACATTTTTGAACACCAAGAATTGTCTATTCTAAGATGTATTATTTAATCATATTTAAGAAATGAGCCGTTTCCATCGATATTTAAACACTTTAAACATATGAAAGTTGTATGTAACATTTCAAAAGAGGTATATATAAATTTACCACCTTTCAAATTTTACTTGAGATAATTTCAAACATTTTATATGGGAACGAACTGTGCGCCTCTCCTTGCCGACCTCTTCTTATTTTCATATAAATCGGAGTTCCTTCAGACACTTGTCAAAAACAAGAAGATCAAAGAAGCCAGGTTATTTAATTTCACTTTCAGATATATTGATGATGTTCTTTCCATTAACAATCCGAACTTTTCTGATTGGGTTCCATTAATATATCCACCAGAACTAGAAATTAAAGAAACAACAGACACGGCTTCCTCCGCCTCATTTTTAGACTTATACCTCGAATTTGACATACACAGTCATCTCAGTACCAGAATCTATGACAAACGAGACGATTTTAATTTTGAAATTATCAATTTCCCCCACCTTAGTAGCAATATACCAACTTCACCTGCATATGGGATATACATTTCCCAACTTATTCGGTATTCAAGAGCTTGCAGCTCCTACTCAGACTTTGTAAAACGCCACCAGTGTCCGAGCAGAAAGTTGATGAACCAGGGGTATGTCAAAGAACGTGTCGTCCTTTTTCTAAAAATGTTCATCGGAAGGTACCAAGAACTTGCTTATAAATATTCCGTATCAACTTCACAAATAATACATGATGGTCTTGAAGTATAGATTTTGCGTACTGACGTTGTTTATCATCTTAATAACGTGTTATAGTATTCTTTTATTTGTCTTTATTAATATTACTTTTACTGTTAAGTCTGTTTTTTGAGATATCCATTTGACGTGACTCTGTGCTTATGAATCCCGTCATACTTTGAACGACAAACTTATTTTATTTATTAATATTACTTTTACTGTTGAGTCTGTTTTTTTGTGATATACATTTGACGTGACTCTGTACTTATGTATACCGTCATACTTTGAACCACACAATTATTTTATTTATTAATATCACTTTTATTGTTAAGTCTGTTTTTTGTTATATCCATTTTACGTGACTCTGTATTTATGTATCCCGTCATACTTTGAACGACAAAATTATTTGATGTCTACCTGTGCGAATTTCAAACACGCGATTTTACGCCAGTACTTAAAACCTTCCATCCTTTATGGGTGGATTTTACATAGATAAATTAAATCGTATAATATAAGCAAAATGAGGATGTTAAATTTGATGTATGCCTTTTTGTGCTTCTTCGTTACATTTGTTTGTTTTTATAGTGATTAAAATGATAACACAATGTTGACTGCTGTACCCCTATTTTTGACATTTTTACCTATTGTGTCTGTTTGTTTTGTTCACGCATCGTTGTCAATATAATGGAATTTGATGCGACTGTCATACAAGTGAGAGGTTTAGCTAGCTATAAAACCAGGTTCAATCCACCATTTTCTACAGAGAAAATGCCTGTACCAAATCAGGAATATGACAGTTGTTATCCATTCGTTTGATGTGTTTGAGCTTTTGATTTTGCCTTTGATTAGGACTTATATCTAGTAATTGACTATGAGGGTCGGTTGAAAACAAAACTTTACGACAAAAGAGATGATTTCAGCTTCCCAATTGTGACCTTTTCATTTTTAAACCAAGAGTTCCAAATGGTGCAGTTGAAATCATCACTTCGAAAATTTTACGGACGCCAACGCGGGTTGGTTGGCCGTTATGGAATATCCGTTTCACAGATGATTTCGGATATGATCCTTGTGTCGTAACTACAATCCCGTTCCCTTTTCACGAATGTGACCTACCGAATTGGACTATTTGCCGGCTTTGTAATAACATGAGCAATACGACGGGTGCCACCTGTGGAGCAGGATCTGCTTACACTTCCGGAGCACCTGAGATCACCCCCAGTTTTTGGTGGGGTTCGTGTTGCTGTTATACCCCTATTTGTGATATTTTTACATATTGTGTCTGTTTGTTTTGTTCACACATCGTTGTCAATATAATGGAATTTGATGCGACTGTCATACAAGTGAGAGGTTTAACAAGCTTTAAAACCAGGTTTAATCCACCATTTTCTACATAAGAAAATGTCTGTACCAAGTCAGGAATATGACAGTTGTTATCCATTCGTTTGATGTGTTTGAACTTTTGATTTTGCCATTTGATTGGGGACTTTCCTTTTTGAATTTTCCTCGGAGTTCAGTATTTTTGTGATTTTACTTTTTAATGACATTTGCAACTTACAAATTTCGAAACTTGAACATAAACTATAGCGTAAACATAAACAGTAAAATTAACCTGGGCTTTGATTAGTATTTTTAGACTGCCTTTGTTTGCACAGCTAACCTTTTTTATGTAAAATCTTGTTCTGTGTGTTTTTGATAATAGATCCAGAAATGCACATTGTAGTCAGCAAAATAGGTACGTCACGTTACATAGATTCACCGATGATTTAGTCTGAAAGAGTCAATGTTTCGGAAATAACTATGACTTATCAAATTCATTTTGAGATGTGTCAGCTGATACATTTTGTGACTTAAATGAACTGAGGTATTCCCGTATAAAAAGTGTTGGCCTAACAAGTGTTGGACTAATTCATGCACCATCTGACACTGAGCGTCCTGGTGAAAGTAAACAAGAAATTATCGTCCGACTAATATACTAGATCAAACAAGAATTAAACTTATTGTTTTCTTCAACAGTAGAATCAATTGGTTGCATTTCAGTTTTTTCTTTTCAATTTGACCAATTGTTCGGGTCTTGTTTTGGTTATATGACTTAAATTTTTTAACTTACAAGCACGCATTTACGTCTGCATACGGATTTTCCGTTGAGTTTGTATAGTATAACTGTAGTATTACTGTGGATAGATGTTTCGTCTGGTATTGTGTACAGAATGAACTTGCTCGTCTGCTGCGGTCAATACATTCCATATCATCTGCATAATCTGTTAAACATATTAGTTATTCCTCTTGAAATTGCTAAGAAATATATTTCACCTACTGCGTGGTCACGCTATATGCGAATTCTCCTACTTTTTACACTTTATCGTCGTAACAAAATTGTTAAGGGTCCATGACTACAATTATGAGTATTTCTATAATCTTAGATTACTCAAGTCAGTACCAGCTTTACCTTTTGGTTTTGATGTTCATGCAAACTTTTCATGCCCTTTCCAAACTTTTTATCTCGTGCGTATCTGATGATAGTTATTTGAGAAATACTTGTCGTGCACGCTGTGATCGTTATTATGTATATACGTTAATTTTTCACACTAGTATCACTTTTTAAACAATTTCTAATAACGCAACAGTTTATAAACCATGCCCAATCAGGTGTTAATGTACAATAATTGTGTGTGTGTACTTAGACTAAAGATTACTTGTATTCAAAAGTCGGAAACATCGTCCTTTCTTGAAAATTACATTACAAATTACGTTCAAGCCCGATTACAGTTGCGGATTCAGACAGTGGCGCACCCCATTCCCCCTATATATATATATTTTGTGTCAAAATAATGTCTTCTTATTCCTAATTCTTAAGCGCTCTTTCGCGAAAATCAAATCATGGATCCGCGCCTGGTTCGGTAAAATGAATGAAGCAATGTTTTGTAGGTTCATTTCATTATTAAACCCTCTCATACATAACATGCATTACTGTCACCTTTAAACTTTGAACACATAGCATCTGAAATGTTGTTAGCAATATCCATATCAAACATCATACTAAGGTACCAGTCATTAACATCCGCCAGTCGAGTATAGGGTAATGACAAATCAACACATGGTAAAACTTCATCATAGGTTCTACAAAAAAGTTAAAATTTTGATGTTCATTATTTCAAACAAAATAAGGACCATTTTGTATGCATTTGTTCCATTTTTTCAGGTAAAAAAAAATTAAGAAAGAAATTTGCAGTAAATATTGTTTCTCCAATCAACTCACAAAGCACGCACAACAAAATATGGTAGGTACGCATGTATAAATATACAACAATTTTGGTTTGTACCAACTCAGGCATTTGTTTACCATGTGTTTTTGCTAGTTAATTTTTCCTTTCTGAGGAGCCGGGTGTTGGTTTGTCAGTTGTGCTGTCCATTATCGTAATTTATGTTTAAATAAGCTAGAGCGTGCAAGCTATATAATACCAATATCTGCATATTCACGAATATATACTCGTATATTAAGAGAAGTAAAACATCCATATGAAAATCTCTATTTACTAGTAGACGATGCACTTTTGATCCCACGGTGAAAAGGTTTTATACATTTACTTTTTTACCTGCTTAGTTCAAACATGGAATGAAAAGTATACCTTCATGTGCTACTTTGAGAGATAAATTTGGTCGAAAATTTAAATATCATTTCAAATTTCATGGTTTTTTACGTTACTATCCTTTTAGAAGAAACATATAACTCGTATGTTTAAGAAGATACACACAAACGTTTTTTGGTAAAAGCATTTGGAATATCTTCTTTATATTAGTATGCTCTAAATTTCTGTAATATAATTCTTTGGAAATAATTCATATTTATATAATTTGCCTGATTGCTGTAAATACATTTAATTAGAAAAAATTATCGGTGGTTTTTCAGAAAAATTGTACAAATATTCTTCCTACATCATTAAGCAAAATATCATTAAAAAACAGTGTTCCTTGTACTTGTTTCAAGCTCATGAGTACAATCAATGGAAAATTACATGTTTTCCCAATATGTAACGTTGCGAATTGCGCAAAATAATATTTTCCGTTAACGTTATAACCTCCCCTTTATATATTTTAACAGTTTCATGGTACTTACCCGCACCATTTATCTATAACTTTGGCATAAATTGAGGTATAATTGCTAGTGATGTTTGCACCTTCAGCCTCCTTCTGACATCCTTCCAAAGTGGGGTTAGGGAGTGATGGAACGGTACCTGGAAGTATCTGACCAATGCCGGTTTGCAACAAAGTATAAATAATCAAGCTTACAAGGAACATGATGGCAGATCTGGAACAAATAAGATAATGTACTATTGTGGCACATATCCGTACATATTTTTAGAGACATTTTTAGAGAGCTACAGCATGCAACTCTCTGTAATTTCTGAAATTACCGTAAGACAATAGAGAGCAAAAGCACTAAAATTATAATAATTTTAAGGACACATATTTGTTGAATAGGATATTTCCATAAATCCGTTTTTACTATTTTATACAATAACTGAAAAAAAAAATATTGATGATTTGCATGGCGGTTGATGCATGCATAGCAAGAGACGTTTACCCTGTCGACACTCGGTCTCGCTTCTTTAAGAGTTCGTGCGATTTCCTCAGTTTTTGTTTATTACCTTGATTTGTTTCTTCCTAAAATATTAATGATTTTTCGATATCAATAAACTATAATGTTAGCCTTAATTTACACCCTCCCTTTCTTGAAACAAGCATACTTCTGCGTCTCTAGTGGAGAGTTGTCTTATTAGCAATCATACAACATCTTCTTATTTTTATATACCTTTTGATAACCATGATAATTAATTAACTGTTTTGTTTGTGGTTGTACATATTAAGGATATCCGGTTTAAACAAGTGACGGTTGAATCAGCTGATTTCTGACTAAAAGAGTCAAAGGTGACAATAAACATGTACACATCACATGTTTTTCTAAATGCACTTGACAGCATAAGTGTCAAGTCTGATCATAAATGTTATATGTGTTTGTCTGTGCTACGACTAAATCTTATGTTCTTTTATTTTCAACTTTTCTGACGCGTTAAACAAGTACAGATCTTGATGTTATACATAATGTTCCAGTCAACTGAATCTTCATTATCCCTCTAAGCTTAGAACCTTTGATCATACAATAAATGGATCATCTTGGTTGCATCTTGTCGTACATGCAACTTGAATATCTTATTTGTATGTATAAAACGTTTTATGATTTTTTAACATTTAGGTTTTGTTCACATAATTTCTGTCCTGAAATGAAATCTATAGAATTCTAGGCATAACGCAATGACAAAAAATGGCAATATCAAGTGTTATTATGGAAGAACTTTTACAAAATATGTTTTTTTTAAAGAAATTTAGTACACTGATGCGAAGTATATTTGTGAGAAATTGTTTGGATGGCTGTTTTTGTCAAAGGATTAATTATACTTGCGCACATACAATTTATGTTTGTTTTAACTGGTATAGATTGTAAATACAGAAATAAATGATAGAATCTTATTGAGATTTGATATTTCGCGACTGACGAAAAGAACCACGCCTTCTTGTATATATAAATATATATAACACTGTGTATATAGCAGACAAGTACTAATTAGAAAACTTTCGTGACAAGCAAAGATAAAATCACCCTAGTGAAACTTCCTCTTTTAAATTAGTGGATTAGATCTGGTGTAGTGGTTAGATCCTCTGTCTTTACATGCTAGGTGCATGGTCGTCGAAGGATGTTCAAAATAGTTGTAAGTTTGCCTCTCGCGAGATAATCTAAAAATCCAATCTGTGTGTACAGACAATTTGTAGGGTGGAAATTACTATGACATATTGTTTGGCTACACTATTAAGCTTTTATATATATGTAGATGAGTCTATCAGCGTTCTAACTTGAAAAAATATTACAAAACGGAACTCACAGACTCGGTAGACATAATAAATAAATGAACAAAAACGAATTAATAAATAAAATCAGGTATTACCATGTCGAACACCCCTTTCTTAATTGTAACATTAAATATGTGTTCATGATAGCATCCACTCGTAATGTGATATATATTGAATCTTTGTACACACCTTTCAGGCGGTTACCCAGTTGAAATTAAACAAAAGAAACGGAACTATTTGTTAGAGAAGGTAAAAAGGGCCAAATAGGTATATTTGAATTGTTTACATCTGTTTCTGTGGGCTTTAAAAGTTTTATGAAGGTGCGTAATTTAGGATTTTATGCATCTAATATACGTGTTTTTACTTAAATTATATTATGGAGCTTGGAGATATTTGTAAAATTTTAAATTATAGACACATTTTCATAAAACAGTAGATTGTGGTAGGTGCAAATACATGTGGATCTTTTTTGTGCATAAGCATAAATTCCACCGAAAACAATTCTACAGAAAGATAATAGATTGATCTTTTCAAAGTATTAAGTTGCATCTCTGCCCCGGCGATAGTTTTTTGGGTAAAAATCCTAAAAAAGGGCAATAATTTCACCGAAAAGAGAATGTCGTGTTTGAGTTGATTTTTCTGTCATGAAAACGTATAAAGCAAAAATATTTGATACATCATCTCGCTTCAGATTCTATTATTTTTATGTATCTAGGGTAAAGGTTTATTTAATAACATTTAAAATTCACAGTACTAAAAATGAAATATATGGGTCAAATGAAATACCTTTCTGATGAGTCATAACAACAGAGTAGGTGTGTTCGAATAACAAATTTTTACTAAAAACACTTGACGACAGACTTAACAACTGGATCTTAAAAATGCATAACTGCAAAAAACGTCATTTTTTGTATCTAGGGTTATAAGTCCTTAACCTCTGAAAATTTGAAGTCTGCCCTTCCACGAAATATTTAATGAGAATTTTCAAAAATGTTTTTGAACTTCCGAAAATTCCCCCTGACAACCGATCATACAACCGTTTTAAATTGACTAAATGCAGAAAAGTACATTAAATGATAATAAATAGCTAGTAGATACATTTGTCTTTTTAAATACAACTTGCATATAAGGATCGTAACGGTGCTATGTGGATAAATATATCGGTTTTCAAGAGCTAACTTGGAAGCGCGTCATCCCTATAATGGCTTCCATTTTTACGATTTTAAAAATTAGCTGGGGTAATGGGGAGATAATTTTGACGAAGAAGACTCCTGACTGCTTTGATATGATTGATCAAAGTCATATTATATCCATACGTTTCATATGAATGATCGTTCTGTTGTAACAATAGCTTTTCAAAATCCGCAAATATCGATGAACCAGAAATAGCATCGTCCTTAAATTTAGTTTGTAAACCAAATTGAAACATATGTTTCTGTATAAATGCCGAACTTCCAAACAAAAATAGTTAAATCAGTCATGTGATATGTTTCTGTATAAATGTCGAACTTTCAAACAAAAAGAGTTAAATCAGTCATGTGATATGTTTCTGTATAAATGCCGAACTTTCAAACAAAAAGAGTTAAATCAGTCATGCGATATAATAATTTATGAACTACCCTGCATGTTAAATCTTCACCAGTCTACTGTTACGGTTTGTGCCATACATTTCTATACTAAAAATTCAGCATTTTGCTTTAATGTATGTAGTTCCTAAAATGACAACTTCTAAATTAATGGACAAAGTTGAATGACCAAGTACTACTCACAACAAAAATCCTCGCTTTGCAAACAGCCAAAATTTATCGTTATAACTAGTTTTATTGTAATTTTTGTAGATTTTAAAAGTGCGTCTTAGCTTAAAAAAAAAAGAAACTTTATGCTTTACAAAGAAAATGTAAAAGAATTAAAATTTAAAATGATAGAATTGAACTAAATTTCTAAACAGCTTCTATCTATAGACAGTGTTGCTTGTCTTGAAATAAACAAAAAAACATACCAATTCTGAATTAAATCCTCTTTACATTTATACTAATGATTCAATTAACTTTCCTTTGAATATGATGTCAATTAGAATTCTAAGGTAATAAATCTGACTTACAGCATGCACCTCGTGCTTTTGAGATGTGAACTGAATTTTAATGAAAAGGTTAATCATGGTAATTATTTCATGACTGTGTTGATCTTAAAACACGAAATTTTAATTACTTTGTTTACTTAAAAATGTTTTCCTGTAATCATTTATAAACTCACAAATATGCATGTTATCAGACTTATAATATAATTTCCATTGAATCTGTCATTCAACGGGGACAGACATTACTTTAATACAAATATCTGTATATAAATTAAAGTAAAAGGTGTCATCATTAACAAATGTTAAATACATAAAACTGCCATCTTTAATGTTTTTACTTGTTTTACACTGTTCGTGTATTTTCGGCGTACAAGATGACAGTTATTCCAAAACACGTTAATTTCGGTCGCGGGCGTATAAGATGAAATTTATTTCAGAAACATATTTTTTTTTTTGGTCGCTGGCGTAAACGATAAAAATTTGTCTAGAAACATGCAGGCGTACAAGATGAAAGTTTTTATAGAAACACTTTGATTTTCGGTCGCAGACGTTGGAGATAAAATTTATATCACAAATACGTTAGTCTTTTTCATTTGTGTATGCTTCTATAACCTGGTTTTCCTTTTTTTGTATCTACTTGCCCCTGTTAACATATCCTGTTTTGCAAGTTTTGTTGGAAGATGTTCACAATACAATCATAATTTCTAAACAATCATAATGTATAAACAATCATAATGTATACACAATCATAATGTATCAACAAGCCCTATTGATATTTTGATATCATGTCATCCGATCACGGGAACTCATTAATTGTTTTAAATAATCTAAAGTCTCACATAGAAGGTCACGAGGAAAGGAATAATAGATCATATTTTAGGTGCTTCTAGAGAAAACTCAAATATGAAGGACCATTTTCAGACAGACACTATAATTAAGTGGTTGAAATAACGAAACATTCAGTTGTCGAACAAACAAAAACCACAAGAACTCGAGCAAAAAATTCAAAATTAAAAGATGTATTTTCAACCCTTTAAATTCCAGAAAAAACAGACAACGGTCCGTTATTCAGGTCAAAGAGATCTTACAAAACTGAATCGAACACCAGAACTTCCAAGGGCAATTAATGAGGCAGAAAACAACATGAAATTACTCAACAAGACGAAACAAATTGCTCACAGCAGCGACAAACTCATCATAGATACAAGGCTTAACATTTGGATGCCATACGTACGTTTCGACTACAAAAGACTCACAATTGACGCTCTTATCAATAAGCTAGGAAAGCCTAATAAAATACGATGTTGAAGAGCTTTAAGAACTCAAAATTCCTTAAGCTTTTGCCAAATACAGCTAAGGTAATCTATTGCTTGGGTAGAAAATCATTAGTATTTTAAAAATTTAAGTTTGAAAACAGGATCTGCCTACCCTTCCAGAGCACCTGAGATCACTCCCAGTTTTTGGTGGGGTTCGTGTTGCTCAGTCTTTGGTTTTCTATGTTGTGTTTTGTGTATTGTTGTTTGTCTGTTTGTCTTTTTCTTTTTTAGCCATGGCGGTGTCAGTTTATTTTCAACATATGAGTTTGAATGTCTCTTTGGTATCCTTCGCCTCTCTTTTAACAGTTAATCTATGATATAACACAAGACAACCTTGATTGTACACGGATAAACACAACACCAAACAACAGGTTTCATTCCGTATGAATCACTGATGACAATGAAGTGAAATCGCCGAAAAACATGAACAAGGCGATCACACAAATATGCAATAAATACAAACAAAATGATCAAAGAAGCATTCCAAGAAAAGAAGACCCAAAGAACATTCATTAACACCAATGACTTTGTTTAATCTAACCAAGAGAAAAAGAACAAATCATCAACTACATATAAACTAGAATCTGTATCATATACAAAATATAAGGATCAACTATTTGAGATCAGCGAAATTCAGAATGAAGAAAAGTGTTCTACGAATTCTCACACTTTTAATATGCAAATAAGATGGACGTTCCAGACTTTTTCAATTTAAACTGGCTAGATGAAATTTTGATACACGCTAAATCAAATGAAGAAAACACAGGCTTGCACAAGGGCGAAGAAAAAGGATGGTCCGAACAAATTGATGTATAGACTGTGTTATATAAAATTTAGCAAAATTCTCGATAATATAGATATGTGAAATATGAAGTGCAATATTTTAAATCTTATTATAAACATTTATTCATTTAAGAGTTCTTTATTTGAAATGAACGATAGTATTTTTCAAAGAAATGAGAAAATGTAGTTTGATTCGTACCATTTCGATTAACATACGGTATTATGAAAAGTTTAGCAAATTTTAGATGATAGATACTAAAAATGAATTGTGAACCAAAATATTAAAAACAAATCATTATGAACATTAATTTCTCTTATGGTTGTGACTTGTATGAAGAGATATTTCTCATATCACACTGCACGGAGTGTGATACGAAAAAGTGGTACGAAAAATATTTCAATATGATTGGCTTCTCCAACATCATGAGACAATATAACGACAATGCTATTGGCTATTCGTTAGGTCATCGATGACTTTCAAAGGTTAAGACGATGGTACATTTCGTCCATGGCAACGGACATATATGATTTCATGAATGATATACTAAACACTTACACTTTTCACCTAAAAATTATCTTTTGTCAAATGTTATAAAATTCTGAAGAGTACAAAGAGTTTTGAAATGTGTGATGTTAAAGGTTGACGCCCGAATAGGACAAATGACGTCAAATTGGTATGTGCAAAACACTAGACCAACGCTTCGCGGCATTCTTCATTTAACCCAATGAGAGTGTTGACCATTAGAGAAATAGATTTAGAAACTCTCGTTAATTGATTCAATAATAAATCATCGTAAGGTTCGTTCAATATCATATTGAAATTAAATAACTCGAGCTGATATCAAGTTATATCCAATTTTCACTCGTTATGAATCCTATTATTATTCAACAGTAGTTTATTTGAAATGAATTATCGTATAGTTTTGAGAAATTACTAAATATAGTTTGATTGATATCATTTCCATTATCAGAAAAAAAAAATAACTCGTTTACGATGATTTCTGACCTCTTTTAAATGTTGATGTTCAAGCTGAATCCTTGCATCCTTGAATTGATAAGGTTCCGCTTGACATTTTCTAGTATATGTCTGTATTATCATGTCCATTATTTAATCCTTCTTACTAAAATATATATGTTTCTAAGCTGCAATATGGAAATTATCCCGATAAAGATATTCGTCTCTTTGCTCGACTTAATGCCCAAAAAACGCCTTATGACGTTTTGTAATGCTGTTTTAAACCAAATGCTTTAATAGGAAGCTTACGATTGGAATCAACCGCGTAACGCATGATGGTATATTTAATGTTCTGTATAATAACGTCACATGTATGGTTGTTCTCTTTATACTGCAATTCTTACAACTGTTCCAAATGAAATATTTTGCGTAAAAAGCAACAATTTTGAAAAAGAAGTGGACGACGTTAAAATATCGCGAGCCAGTATTCTTCAACGTTATGAATAAAACTATACGGAAAGTTTTAATCAACGCCACAAACAAGACGGTTTGTGGTCAATGCTGTCAGTGACTGATATTGCAAATGCCTTGTGACTAATGTTTTATATGGGCAATGCAATTTGACTGTGCAAATATCACAGTTGCATTATAAAATACGTTACACTGTTACATATAGAATAATTATTATACATTGTCTCAAAATATAAAATTTATCTGTATAAGAAACTAGGAGCAGCCTATCCTGTTTCGAGTCGAATACAAAATTTTGAATACAATGTACGAGAATCTGGAATAGGGGAGGGGGGAGGGTCTTCAGTTAATACTGATTCAATACCACTGCTAGTGGACTGTTTGTCCCCGAGGATATCATCATTCAGTAGGCAATGCGTTGATACTGACATGATTTATAACATATTTTTGTTCTTCTAAAATCCGCCGTTGATGAACTAAGAAATTATCAAGAAAACAGTTTCAACTCCCTAATGAATAATTGACCTTACATGAATATCGCTTTTTTATGTTCCTTTTATCTGTAATAGAAATAAGGTTTGTTAAACATAGCGTATGTTTTACGTGTTATTACAGCGATTACATGTAACGTCAATGTTGTTAACGCTTTCTGTGTAAGAGATCAAAGGGTATGCAAATATTGTAATAAACTAAAGGATGAATACTTTTTTCTATATTGTAAACATAACTCAGCTTTTACAGATCAGCTATTTTAAAAAATCAATAATATAATACCTTGTTGATACCTGGTTATCCAAATTATCAACAACTTTTAAATCCTGCATTTGAACTTTTGTCAGAAGTTCGTGACTTTATAAGCAATCTATGATATCCATTTTTCCTCATTTTCTTCTTTTTTGTATTGATCATGTAATTTAACTAAGTTCCGGTTTCAATACAAGATTCATGAATGCTCAATTTGTAAAGATAGAGAAAGATTTGTACTATAGCCCAAATGGCGGCTAATGTGTATTTTGTACAGGATCCCTATTATAGTCACTATAACCTATTATGTCTGTTTCGGTTGCTCAACCAAGTTTGTCAATATAACGGAACTATAAACAACAGTTAGTGTCATACAAGTGGGCAGTTTCAAAAAGAGATTCATAAATGCTCAATTTGTAACGATAGAGCGAAATTTGTACTGTAGCCCATATTGCAGGCAATGTGTATAAAGTTGTACATTGAATGTTTTCAAAAGAATGATGTAAAATGATATGCTAAAAAATATAAATTGTTTTCTGTTTTTGTTTTGACCAATATTGCAAGTGCATCTTGGAACTAAAGTCTTGATGTATTTTATCTATATTGTGCTTAATATGGATGTTTTTGGTTAAATACACTGAAAATACCCCAAAAAGGCCTTTTAAGGGCCCTTTTTTCAGCAGTTTTATACAACAAAAAAACCCTACAATTGTTTTTCATTTTACTAAATATATGTTTTAATTATTTGTAATGTTG